AAACACCATGGAAAATTCGATAGTTTTTTCGAAAGCCTTAACATTTCGGAATTATTTTTTCAGAACATAAAAAACAAAACAACTTGATACAAACATCAGTCTATACATTCGTAACACCATACCTGTTCTATACAATTATATTATTATGCCTTCCTTGCATTGAAATCACTCAAATTTCAAGAAAAAAACGTGCTAAAATCAATGTCAATATGTTATGCAAAAAAAGTTGTTTTGAGAGTTCATGTGTATTAATAAAAAGATGTGTCAGCAGAAGATGACATATTCAGAGAAACGTCCATATGACGTTTCTCATTGATAAAATTGATATGTGAGGATTCCCTAACCACACAAATTTTGTTGTTCCCTTTGGATATATCTGTGAAATCTTAAAAATTAAAAAATTCAGTTTGACTACATCACACAGTTACAGTCCGAGTGTCAAATTACTTGATTATTTGCAGAAAATTTTCAATGTTCTCTTGCGGTCCCAGAAAGCAAAATATATTTTCCACCCCTGCCAACTGGAAGTTTCGCTTGAGCTTTCGCTTTCCGTATCCGAGGTACAAATATGCTCCTCAGTGCCGTTCAGATCCATTAAAGAAATAACAAAAATGGAGAATTGTATCTTTCAATTTTAAAATAATTTGCCTCCGGCGCGACAACACAGAAAGCTAGACTAATTTCAATAAAAATTTGCATAAAATATTTGTAATTTCTACTTTCTAGTACTGTTTTGAGACATGCACTATTGCATGAAGCACTCCTGTGACGTCATAAAACTGACCGCTGAAAATTATTGCGCCTACGAAAAAAGGCATGCAATATGGCAACTTTCTATTTGCAATTTTTCGAAGTAAAGCATATGGAATATTTAGCAAACGAAAAAGAATTGAGACAAAATAATTCGTACCGAAAGTCATCAAGGTAAGGCCTTTTATATGAACTAAACTTGTTGTGGGGGTAGACATCCCCTTTAACGAGTCGCCTGGTATCAAAGGGTATCTACAATGATTATAATTCAATATTTAAAAATTATGAAGAGGATGGTATAATTGAGCGGTTCTCAGTAGAAGAAATTGCCAAGGGGGCAGGTGCAACTCACTAGAACAGACCTGTTGTTCGTGAGGATAAGCAAACAACAAAAAGAAGAGCTGTGTTTGGCCCTTCTTGCAAAGTCAATGGACCTTCCCTGAATGAGTGCCTGTATGCCGGTGTCCCCTGGTTTCGCTTCCCACAATTTCCTTCCGGGGAGCGAGATTCCTAAGCTATCACGTCCCCGCGATGGGGAATCCTAGGAAATTCGCCCCCCTTTAAGAAATTCGCCCCCCTTTAGAAACTTCACCTTTTCTTTAGGATTTTTGTCCTCCGTTCAAAATTTTGTCCTCCGTTCAAAATTTCGCCCTTCCTAACAGTTGCATAGGATAATTATTACATGGCTTTAGTCATTTGAAATCAGTATCAATTCAAAATTGTTAAGACAGAGCTTGAAATAACAACCGATCAATGATCGGCATGGAATTGCTTATGATCGGCGGAAAAGCAGGGTTTCGGTTTCCAACCTGAAACAATCAGGGAAAGTCATGATCGAGAACTTTGGGAACGTTATTTCAAGCCCTGTAAGAATACACATTTACAATTACATGTATCGAAAGGGCTTACACAGTTCACAGCCATAGACTAAGACTTATGACGCTTCACAGCACACCATGCATATTTTGCATTTTCAGTGTTAATCCTTAAACTCATGCATTGTTAAAAAGTAATCACCGTGGTGGTTATTGTAATTATTGGTATTGTTTTGCATCCAATTTTGTCGTTATCGGAAAATGTATGGCTTACAAGTTGTCATTATTTTTTACTTGCATTATTTCAATATAGTTTGTAAATTTCAGATCTAGAAATTTCACTGACACTGACATGGAAAGTTGACGATTCAATGGCAATAGTCAATAGTCAATACGCTTCCCAACAAATTCCATAGATTTTTTATTAATCCTATAGTTTATTGTTAGCAAGTGATTAATGTGGCGGCTATTGTTAACACTGGTATTGATAAAATTTGCAAGCGATTGTTCTTATAATATGTTATGTGAATGTAACTGCCAGAAGAATACGACAACATGATTTTATGCGATCTCTGTGGGCAATGGTTCCACTTTAGATGTGTAGAATATGACACTAGTCTAAGTACCTCAAATGACTGGTTATGCAGACTGTGCACACCACCAGCTGCTAAGAAGCTTAAAATGTGTATGTGATTTTGTCTTCTTGTAATAAATAAATAAATCACACAATAAATCTTTTCAACTTGCAATCGTTTTGTTTTTAGATCAAAAATTCAAAATTTATATGGGGGGGGGCGAAATTCCTAAAGGGGGGCGATATTC